ATTCCTGCTACTGCTCACTTGTAGTGGTAATGTTTCATTTTCCTTCTCCACATTTCAAATCTGGCTGAAGGCTTTGCTTTTTTTGTGCTAGGTAGTATGCTGAGCAGTGTAAAGTTCATTTCATTACTTGAACAGAAACTCCTGTACCAGGGCTGGTTTGTTTGGGCACAGGGAAGGTGTTTGCTGCTTCAGCCAGCTGATGGCACTGGAAAAGACAATGCACTAGGAAACCTTGTGTTAAGTGCCCTGTATTTTGGGCTTCTTCCTAGCTTAGCCTAGATATTTGCTCACAGATAGGCGACTCTGGATAACAGATGGAGCCTGGAAGCAAAGTGAATTCAAGCAGTCGGATAAACCCGGCTGGGACTGCATTCTGTGGGTGTGTTTTTTCCTTTCATGCACAAATAGAAGCTCAGTAGTGTCTTAGCTGTGATCCGCTACAGATAGAGCAGAAGCAAGCCTGATAGGGAAAGGTATTTTCTGATATAGTATGGTATTTGTTGAGAAAAGCGCAAGCATTTGGACACAACATCCCTTATCAGGAACTTTAGCAAGTACTGTTGGAGCGAAGGGAGCTACTAGGAGCTGCTTCATTTACGGCCATTGAGTCAGACTACTTTGAATTCTATCCTAGTAAGTCTCAATGATATCTTTAAGGTTATAAATATTCATATTATTTCTACAGTTTGCAGACTTCTTCTACAGTCATGAATAAATTTGGCCTATTAGACTTACAAGAAATATGGTTGTTTCACTTATTTTAGTACCATCTTAAAATTACAAAGGGAAACCCACACTTCCTCACCTCTCTCCATAGCTGTCACTTCAAACAGAGTGGATAAAATAAAAATTAATGCGTAGGGAAAAGAGTTGCCTCCTCTAAAAGCCGTGAGTACCATGAAGGCAGTTTGCATTGGCACAACTTAATATCATAGAGAGTGAGTATTGCAGAGAGCAGAGATACAGAGAGTGCCCACATAAAAATCATATAGCTGCAGCTGTGCTTCTTGTTTATCATTGGGTTAAACTGAGTTCCCAGCAGTGTCTGTCTATCTGCATTGCCTCTTGAAGTACCCTGAGGCTACAGTCTGCTCTCCGTATAGATAAACGTCGGCAGGCACGGTTGATCAGATAACCTGATCAGGCTGCTCACCCACTCTTGGCTACTCCCTCTTCTTGCAAGCCCAGTGGTCACAAGAAAGCTCTTTCAGGGCACGAGGTGGAGACTTTTATGATGTGAGTCTCTAGCGGAGCCGGGGGTCCATCTGGCACAGAGCTTTCACCACAGGGCTGGCTCCTTGGTGGTAGCACCTTTGCTTAGAGACGGGGAAGCATGACCTGCCCATAAGCAGATATTAGAGACGGGGTAGTTGACTGCGCTGCTGGAGGGAGTGATGGTTCACAGGGAAGCACTGGGAAGTGGCACTGGATTTTCGGTTGCTCCAGAAACCCTCCAGCCATCACAGGCTTGTCTCCAGCCCAAACCAGCCCCACTCAGTGCTTCCTGAAAGGCATAACCAGTTGTGCTGTCTGTGCAGGGAGTTAGCAGACTTGGTCATGCCAAAACAAAGTAACTCCTCAAACATCTCTTGCCTCAGTGCTCATGGCTACCCATGCTGGTGACTGGGAAATTTTGGAGGGGTGACTGGGAAATTTTAGAGGGGAAAAACCTTCACAACCCTGGAAACAATCCTTCTGATTGGGGTAGGCCAACATAAAGAAGCCCATGCTCATGCACTCTCCCAAGTGGCTATTCTGTGGGTGTAAAGGTCTTTGTTATAGGCAAAACTTTCCCAAAGCACCTCTTCTAAGGAGCAACTGGGAAAAGTAATAATTTTGCAAATTTTCCACAGTCTAGTCATTCCCCACACTCCAGGCAATGGGATTACTGACGTCACATGTGTTGGGGACCTCTTGAATGACATCAAACATGTTCCTACCAAATTAATGGGCAAGCAGGAGTTCTACATTCTAAAATCTAATCTTAAAACCTTGGAGACTGATTAAATTACATCTCTGAGCCAGGAACAAAATGTAGCTTCATGCAAATTGTGCTTCTGCCCATAACTTTTTGTTAATGCTGGAGAATGATTTACTATTGGTGTCTCAGAGGTTGTTAAAGAGAGTGGTGTGTCCTTATCTCATGATTATTTAGTCAGATGTTGGAAACTACAGTACTTACCCAGCACCCTGCTACTGGCAACAGGAACCCATAAGAAAGGGTAATCTATTCTAATATTACACCCATCTCTGTGGCATCTGAAGAGCTAACAATTCAGCTGAGAGAGGAAGGCTGTTTTTCAGACATTTCCTTTAAGAACAAAGCCTCCTCTCAAGCAGAAAAGCATTAAAAAGTATCTTTGTTTGAGGTCATTAATATGCCTGTTTTCCAGCAGCCTGTAGGAGAGAGACTTTTTTACTCTCCTCCCTTCTTTCAAAACTGGACAGTGTTAACCTGTCAGAGTATACGAAAGGAAGACAAGACCCTTCACTGGGGGAAAAGGAGGGTGCATTAGTTGGTGCGATACAGGACATTTACATGCTTTTTCTAATTCCACAGGAAATACTCTGAGCTTCACATTTATAGAGCCACCTTGGCCGACGCCGGGGAATATGCATGCAGAGTGAGCAGCAAACTAGGGAATGACAGTACTAAAGCCAGTGTTATCATCACGGACACCAATGGTAAGATTTGGCTCTTTATTTTACTGTCATGTTCAGAGAGATCTTGTATTTATGCCGCCACTGGGACAAAAGGCTTTCAGGGAGGGAAAAGATTTGCTAGTGAAGTGGGAGTGGAAACACTGAAATCTGTTAGGCGTGCCGAGAAAATAAATTAGGCCTGACTTGTATTCAATATCGGTTTGACTTTCCTTACCCAAAGAAATGGGATACCTCTTACGGATGTCGCGAGATAGTGGCATTTTCTGTGAGACACCTTCCAATACCAAGTACAAGTCGCAGCCTAAATAATCAATATAAGAAGAGGATGAAGGAAAGGGAATATTATTTTTATTCCCATCATATACATAGGTAGTGGAGGCACTATAGGCCTATGGGGAGAGCTTTCATTTGACCTGAAACAAATCCCAGGCTGATTTCCAAACCAAAACTTTGTCTTTCAGTAATATTTGCATGGTTCTGATTGCCACTGCTTTTTTTTTCAGAGAAGTTGATGGGTTTTTTGATTTCTGCCATATTAGAGATACTGTGTTGAGCAGGTTCTTGACTGACATATCAAAGTTATTCAAAAGCATGAACGTTATCCAGGTATTGTGATTTAAATTTTTTTCTTGAGGAACAGAGATTCTTATCTGCAGATGGCTTTCAGACTTATTCAAACAATATAAAGATATTAGTTTTTTGGGGGGTTTTTTTGAGCTACTTTCTGTTTCATGTATAGGATGTTCAAAATGCCCCTGGCAGAATTTAATGAGTGTTTTCATTGTGCACAAATATTTTAGAGGTGCTGCTTCTCATTGCAAGTGCGTGGAGTTTGTGGTTCGGTAGAAGCCTTGTTTCTTGAGCATGACATTGACTAATTCAACTCTGGCAATTCAAGCTCTAGGATCTATCCAGTTGTGAAGTGTTAAACAAACAAACCCTAATTAGTAAACAAAGAGTAAATTCTGTGTGTATACAAGATGAGTTTTAAAGTGTTGTTGCAAGGGGAATTTACCGGAGATGCTCTTCTGTTGCACATTGTGCTTTGGAGCAGGAGACATATTTTACTAAATAGAAAGCTGAATGTGACCCTTTGCCAATCGGGTGTCGTCACTGCCTATTTGTTGTTGTGGAGTAACGCAGTGATTGCTAGACTGCATTCACATTGTATATTTGCTGTTCTAAATCATCAGCTAAAGACTCTCAAGTGCTGAGATTTTATCCTAGGTGTATGGTATTGCAGTTATGATCACATGTCAGGAGAATAATATAAAAGATCAAGTGTTATTTACCAAAATATTATTAGGAGCAAAAAGGGGCTGGTGCTTCTGTGTAGCTTTGAAACTGTGCTTGGTTTCCATCAATACAATATTTGATTGCTCAATAGCTGCTTGCACAGGAAGCAGCCTATACTGTTCCCAAAGAGCCAGAGTTCCCGAAACTCATCTGCAAGCGCTGGCTCGGGGCAAGGGTACAGATAAATGGAGGAAATGTGTGGATATCCTTCATATCTTTCTAAGAGAAGGGATGGTTGTGGAATGCATTCAGGACCTCATTGCTACGCTTGATGACATGAAAATGCTGCAGGGAAACAGGAGCTTGATTTTGAATGAGTGCATCTGCAGGCAAGCCCAACCATGTGCATTTGTAACTTCTGTGTTAGAATCTGTCTAATCATGTTGTGAAACATAACTCGTTTAAAACGCAACTGTGCAATGCAGCCCTCCTTAAATGCAGGGAAAATCTGGATCCGGTCTAAACCTGGCAGCTGGCTCTTATCTGTAAAACGACTCAGCTGGAAACCTACGTCTCAGTGATACTTGACAATTCAGAGTCAGGCATGGCATCATTCAGTGGATAAATAAATCAGTCATGCGTATTTGGTTGCCACACATACATCTGAACCTTCTCTGCTTATTATTGCTTATAAATTATCAGTCAAATAGTTACTAGTTTCCCTTCTAAAGGTGGAATTTTCCACCTAGATCTTAAGGAACAGCATGAGCAACATGTGGTGAGCGAAGAGCAATGGATCCCTAAGGCCTCTGAGGGCAACATCTGCTTTCCAAACACGGACAGACTCCCTGCACGGGTGACCTCCTCACCCCTCCTTCCCCCACGCTCCCTGACCTCTTCCCCTCGCTCACTTAATGACAGATTTGGGATCCAAACTCAGTAATGAGCCCTGAAGGGCAGTCATTACTCAGGTCTGATGTATCTGTGTGGTCCTGCCATATTCATAAGAATATAAAAAATGTATATTTATCCCTTATCTGTAATTTCCTACTGATGAGCTTTTGGAGAAGACCTTGGGGTCTGGAAGAGCCCAAGAGCCCCCTCAGAAACCTACTGTATGGATAGCTGAGGGGACTGAACATGACAGGGTAGGAAGAGAGGTTGCTTCCTTTCACCTCCAGCAGAAGGGGTGACAGTGGGACAGAGAATGACATGTCGGAGACCCCGATTTTCTTATGTTAGTACTAACCTGCTCATCCCTATGAACTACAGCATTAATTAGCCACTTAATTACTATTCAGTACTGCCACGTGTGTGCTCACCTGGTAGTACATGCCCTGCTCTCTAGAAACTAGATCATCCTCCCCCTTTATTCTGGGGGCATTGTGCACCTATGGTAGATAAGGTGACGACATTCCTGGATATGAACTTATTCTTATTTCCGCTAAAAAATGAGTGCTTTCCAGTAAAAAAAATCCTTGATGTAATTCCTTAGAACTTTGTCAAACTTTAACAATTTTAGTTGAAATTTTCTTTGCTAGTGTATGTCCTAAGAGAGAACTCTAGGACCAGATCAAAGGTCCATCTAGTACAGTGCCTGGTCTCTGACATCACCAGCAAAAGTACCAGAAAAAACAGTATGTGGAGAGAAACGCAAATGTGGTTTTTTTTTTTTCCAAAGAATAGAAAAAATACACCTTTACTACTAAAGTAACACTTCTTAAAATGACTACTTTCAGTTTTCCTGCTCCTAATCATAGAAATATTAACATTTATAAACAAAACCATTGTAAGATTTTCTTCTTTGTTGTTACGTGCAAAACATTTTATTTTTCCTTAATTTCATTCCCAGAAGTGATCAAACTAGTTTACCTTAAACACTAGTAGTCAAAGCAATAGTAACTTGAATTCTTGTTGTTGTTGTTGTTGTTGCTATCATTACTGTTATTTAAAAGAAGTGCCAAATTTGCTGTTGTGGAAGTGTGGTCTACAAACATATGCGCTTACACAGGGTATGTGCTATATTTAAGTCTTCTCCTTTTTAATGAAAAATACGTAAAGTCTCACATATAATGCCATATGTATAGCTTAAAACGCAACAAATATAAAAGCAGGTAGACAAACACTGTTTTCTAACAGTATTAATAGCATGCAGAGGGAACTGTTTTGTTCTCTTTTAAATTTGTAATGAGTGTAGCTTGCCTGCAGGATACGAACTGCCTTCTTATTTTCATTCGCTCCCACTCATATATGCTCCCCATTGAAAAATTGTAATTGAGCTTAGAAGAGAGGCATGAAGTTCTCCTGGAGTTATATAATTGGTGCACTGGTTTGGGTATGTGGTAATAATTGCTTTTTTGCCTAATTTGTCACTTTAGCGAGGCAAAGCATTCTTGCAGCAAATTTTTTCAGAGACTGTGCCATAAATGTAAGACTAAGTATAAAGGACACTGAGAGAATACTTTATACCACAGGCAAAGTTTTCAATTTCATGTTTGAAAAGTTTGTCACAGATTAGACAAGGTAAGTGACCTTATTTGCTAACATGTTGAGCCGCTAAATCTGACGTTGGCTATTCACATTAAAACCTGCTGGCCTAAATCTTTCATCTCACTAAGGAGGAATGCTGTTCCCAGCGTGGCTCACAGCGCAAAAGGGTGGATTCCTGCAGAGAGATTTCAGAAGCGACCAGTCTCCAATGTAGCGTTGTAGGCTGCGCTGCTGGCTAGTAGCAGGGCATTGTGTGAGCACTCATCCTCCACTCCTCCGCAAAAGGAGGTGACATGGTTTCAGCCATCAGTGAAGGTGTTTGGGACAACTTTACCTGAACTGAAGGCAGCAAGTGCTCGGGCGATCTGTTAATGTGGCTTGGCTGGGGGCAGAAGTAAGCCTTGGTTAAATTCATTACCTGCACAGTCAGTGCCCTGCACAAGCCTCTGTAGTTGCATCCTTAGGACTTTCAGTGATACTAACAGCTCAGAGTTGTACAGTAACTAACAGGTACCTGCTCTTCCTCAGGCCATTAGAGTTTAATGTGTGAGTATACTATTCTTCTGAAGGAATTCAGGAGCTGATCTTTCAGAAAATGGCAGAGAAATACTTAAGCAAAACCAGCATCATGTGTCTAGCGCCCCACAGTGCATGTGACTAAGTATGAAATACTTGACATGAAAGAAAAGTCCCTTACTACTCAAATGTTGATCCATCTGAGATTTGATTAGGGCAGGAGATCAGTGTACTTCTTCATTAGGATAGTTACATGTGATTTCAAGCCATAGTTTATTATTCATATGCGAGGCTAGCATTACGGGTTAGATTCTCCAGTGGTGCAAAACAGTATGTCTGAGTGATGTCACTAGTCTGGGCCTCCATATAGAAGATTTTTGTTTTGTTTTGCTTTTACTGTGCTGTTTGAGTAGGAAGAGCAATGTTGCTCCTTGGTCACCTTTTAAGACTGGATAGGAAGGGCAAAGGGTACGGCTGCAGTCACAAATTGGGGAAAAAGCATACGTGTGCAGTGTTCGTTCTGCTGGACAGTGCGTACAGAATTTAAAACGAAAACGAAAACAAAAAAAGAACAAAAAAGTCCAAAAAAGTGTGACCATCATTCAGTCTGGCATAGCAATTCCGCGAAGAGTTTTGCATTAGGAGATGGCTCCTTGTAGGCCCCCGGTTGCTTTATCATCAAGTAATACTGTGGTTTGTCTCCTCTTCCGTTTGGGGCTTTTCAAAGGGAGGTGATTCTGTTAAGGAAGACTCTTCTAGCTATGCCAAGAAGCAGCAAAGCAAATGCAAGTGGATAACTAGCACAATTTTTCTGTAATAACTAAATCAATGAGACATGAATGTGAATGAAAAGCTTTCACTTGTAGAGGTGAACAATTTCATCATTTTTACTTATTTAGAATAAAACCGTTAATAACATATACATTACATAGGGTATAGATTCTTGCATAATCTAGATTTTGTATTGTATGGTACTGTGCTGATAGGTACTGTATCTTATCAGTTCTAATTGCAGAACAAGTAAGTGCCATAAGACTTTGCAGGGAGATAATTTAGATGAGTAAGACACTGGCTGCCGTGCTGAGAGACCTATCTAACTTTCTCATTTGTGAAGGTGGTCTTTGACTGCTGTTGCCTGAACATTGCACATTTTTTAGCATTGCTCTCCTTGCAACCACGAGGTTCTGTAAGATTACATGGCCGAGTGATGTGGAACAAATATATGGAATTTCTCTGGAAAGCCAACTGTGCAGCAGATTCCTGTTTGCTGTGTACTCACTGATGGGTGTTCGTAGGATAACTCTAGAGACTTTTTCAGCACGGCTGGGTTGAGGGAGAGGAGATGCCCAGGACAGTCTCTCCACCTGTGCCTGCTCTAGAGGTGTTTTACAGAAACTCAGTGTTTAAAAAAAAAAAAGAAAGAAAGAAAGAAAGAAAGAAGAAAGAAAAAGAAAAGCCTTGGATCTGTCGTTGCCGTTTGACATATTTGAGCCCACTGTTTCATGAGAGCGGTGCTTTTTTTGACTCATTTCAAACATCATGGTTTCTGGGAGGGCAGAGCAAAAGAGAAAAAGTACAACAATTTCGCAAAACAAAAAGAAAATTTATCAGCTGGATGTCCCTGTGTCCCCTGGCCAGCTATGCTCACGTGTCTCCAAGGCTTCAGAATGTGGCCTTGCTCACCTTATAAGAAATGGATAAGCAGCAGAGGTTTTGGAAATTTCACTTTTCTCTAGCTATACATCTGAATGAAACAATCAATGCACAAAGTTTAGTTAAATCACTGCCAGAATGTACACCTCAGGACGACAGAAGGCTTATTTGCGCCTCTCACTAGTCTGCTGCTCATGGTGTTGGAATCTGCTTCAAAGCCCAAGTTGCTATCCCTGTCAGGGTCCTCCGAGCCTTCTTCAAAGCCTAAACCAAAGCCAGTGAGATTAACCGAAGCACTTTGGTTGGCTTAAGGAGGCTTTGCGTTAGGCCTTTGGCAAACTAATTGGAAAAGAATGGCTGTGAGAGCAGGCAGAGGGCTCTTCACAGCAGCAGCCGTAGGGCTGTTTGATGGTTGATTAACCGTAAAAAAATGGTCTCCCCTCTGGAAGTAGACATGCTGCCTGCCTCAGAGGTGCTACAGCAGAACTTGTGGTCCAAGCATTGAGCTGTCGCCTCTCAGCAGCCCAAGCAAAGCTCCCTGCCTAGCAGGGTGCATCAAGATGCAAAGCCCATCAAGGTGGTTTGTGCTGGGACACGAGGTGTCACAGGGCACTCTTCTCCGCCTTGGCAGAGGAGATAGCAGGAGGTGGAGCTGGCCAGAACATTAAGCAAACGGGAGTGAGAGGCTGCAGGGACCTCTCTACTGAATCATCCCTAAATAAGGATCTCTTGGCCTTCCTTCAGTATTTTTACATAAGAACAGCAAGAAGTCCCACGGCAAACATATCCAGTCTCAAGAAACAGCACCTCACTGAAGTTAAGTGCTCCCTGGAAGAGTCAGGGGACAGAAGTGGATGGAGCATTTGAGGTTGCTGCTCCTCACAGGGACTGAAACATGAAGATGAAGAGAAGGCTGCAGGCCGCAGTCTCCATATCTCAGCAGACTCTAGCTGCAGCTGCAAGTACCACGTCTGGAAAATGCCTCCAGCTCTTCCACCTCAGGCACATATTGAAAGCCCCCTTCAAGCAGATTCTATTCTCTCTCCTTCTTGTTTCCAGATGGTTTGTTATGTGGATATGTGCCGGCCCTCCCAGATGGAGTATAATGTTTCTCTCACCATTGTGGTGACCTCAATAAGTGGAAACAAGCACGTTTTGCATCTTTCAAACATTAACATCCACTGTTAATGTCGCTAACACAATGTTATTAACAGGGCTTGGTAATGAGTGACTCTACCACATGCTTTCCAAATGTGTTTCTCGACATGCTTCTGGTGCAGAAGGCTCTGGCTGTATTTCTGCCTGCAAACAGGAACTTTCTATCTGCTTTTGTGCCAACACAGGCTGAGCTGCTGACACAGCTGAGCCTGAGGAGGTAACAATAAGAAATGCTCCATCAAGCTCAGCGGGAGCACTGAATGGGACATGGCTTCTTTATCGAGGAAAGGAAGAGTTGCTCCAGCCTTGCCAGGTGCTGAGCTGCTCAGCTGTCAGACCTGCTCTGTGACTGCTCTTGTGACTAAGAAAGGTAAATTGCTCGGGCACCCTAAGTGCAACAGTGAACTGCCTTCCCTCCCCAACATACGACGGAGTGCTGCCTGGCTATGGGCCACCGTGTTCCAAGACCTCAAGCAAAAGCTTTGACCTTAAAAGTTTTATAAATGATATGATGTCATGCACCACTGGCTATCAGGGAAATGCTGCATAACACATTCTCTTGCATTAATGAAACCAGGCTGTTTTGCCCCGACGAATATATTTGTTGCAGAAAATTGGACCAAAATGCAAAAAATACAAGAGTAGAAGACCTAGCAAATCAGAAATTAACTTATAAGCTCCAGGGGTGTTGAGGGAAAGACTCTTGGACTGATTTCATCTCTGGACCCTGAAGACAACAGAGGGGACATCTGATCTAGAATCACAGAAAAGAAAAACGTTTGGTTTTTTTTTGAAGGACTTGAAGCATTTGCAGTAGTGTAACAAGACAGACAACATCTGTTTATCTTCATTATCAAAAAAAAAAATTGCACTGCAGAGTAATCTTCACTGACTTTCCAAGATCTTTTCCTAAATCTCTCATGAGGCTTTTTCTAAATTCTTTTTGCTCACTCTACCCAAGGCTTCTTGTTATGCCTTGAGGATTCAAACCCAGGCTTTTTCCCTGGAATCTGTGGCCTTTCTCCAGCTGTGAAGTTACGACTCGTACAGTTGTACTGAGCTCCACCACTCCAAGGCTGAAAAGTATTGCGCAAGCTTGGAGGGGACTGAGATTGCTAATGTATGTGACTGAAAGGCAATGTGTTCACACCTAGGAAACTGCATACATCTGTGGCTGGGGGGGGTCACCGTTGGCAGACAGACGATTGGTGTCACTGGAACGAGGTCTCTGTACAAACCTGTGAAGCCCATATGAAAGCCTACTTTCTACTTTCTTTCATCTACGTTCCGCCAGACATTTAGCAGGGATCTAAGTATGGCAATATCATCCACCATGGCCATCAACTAGCTCAACAAGCAGCATGAGAAGTCCACAGCACTGTCAGAAGCAATAATGTGTCTCCATATGACCAGTATGGGAAGATCAACTTTCCTCCTCTCTTCAGCAATGCAACTGTCTGATTTCCCTTGCAGAGCCTTCAGCTGTCATTCCATGGGAGATTGGATTTGCAGGTGTGACCGTTGGCAGACAGACGATTGGTGTCACTGGAACGAGGTCTCTGTACAAACCTGTGAAGCCCATATGAAAGCCTACTTTCTACTTTCTTTCATCTACGTTCCGCCAGACATTTAGCAGGGATCTAAGTATGGCAATATCATCCACCATGGCCATCAACTAGCTCAACAAGCAGCATGAGAAGTCCACAGCACTGTCAGAAGCAATAATGTGTCTCCATATGACCAGTATGGGAAGATCAACTTTCCTCCTCTCTTCAGCAATGCAACTGTCTGATTTCCCTTGCAGAGCCTTCAGCTGTCATTCCATGGGAGATTGGATTTGCAGGTGTGGTTTAGAGGATTTCCCTGAAGTGGCAAGGGACCGTATTGGATGTACTTAGAGGCAAAGTCATCTGCATGATTTCACCTGTTGTCACTGACCTGTTATTCCCAGAGGAGAAAGAGAGATTGAAAAGCTGCGTCCTTTCAGAAGAAACTGGCTTTTCCCTTCAGTCCCACCAGTAGACACCATCATTGTTCATTTTTTCCCGAAAGGAAACTTCCAGACTGGTGTCTGACTGCAGCCCCTGCCCAATGAGCCTGAATCTGAGCTTACTTCTTTGAGCATCTTTTTCCCCCTTACCTTGTCCATCCTTCAAGTTGAATGCTGAGTTAGAGGATCGTCTGACTCCATATTATAACTTCTTGTTGCCTCTTGTGTTTTCCAGAGAGCACCAGCAAGATACCAGTATCAACAGAAGGGACAAAAACTTCTTCACGTAAGTTGAATTAACAGACTCTTTCTCTTTCTTTTTCTCTCTTTCTTCCTGAAACTGCTTCTTCAGCTCTGAGACTGTTCTCTCTCAGCATAAAGCAATTCACCTGCATCCAAAGCCTCAGCACCAAGTACAACCTTGAATACTGGAGCTGCTTCAGGGATTAAGAAATGAATGAAGAAGGGCTAAGCATAATTTTTGGTATGCTGCAGTGTACAGAAGATGCTAGTTTAGTCTGCAGTATTCAGCCTGCTGCAGCTTGAGTGAAACGGGATCTGATTTTGTAATAACCATGTTCTGAATAAGGACATGTTTCTCCCATTCCTCATCAGTCTTACCAGCTGCATGCTGCGTTGCAGGATACATACATATATTGACGTTTCCTCCAGAAAATCTGTTAGCTGGACCACCGTGTTCCTCAGGGCACTGGTTACATTGCCTGGTAGCTCTTTTGAGTCTAGGAATGTGGACAGGTATCTTAGTGCTCAGTATTTTAACCACTTTTGAAGCTGCCTCAGCGTATACTAGCAACCTTCTCCAGAATGGCTTCCTTTCAGACTGATGGAACTTAGGTTTCAGCATCCTGCCTGCAGTTACATATTGTATGACTCCAGATTTACTCCTGGAACTGACCCCAGTGAGAAGTCACTTTTATTATTTTAACTCTTGGAGCTGCTTTCTATATGGCCACAGTACAAGCAGACATCTCTACTGCTGAGTTTGGCTGAGGAAGCTGTGGATAGGCATGTGTAAGCCGAGCATCCCAAGGATTTACAAAATGCACATATCCTGCTTGGCAAAGGGGCTGGGGTCCTGCCAGCTTTTTGAGAAAGCTATGTCTGGCAGAGACAGGTTTGAGTGTGAGATGACAGTGTTTGTAGGCTAGATCAAGGAAAATAGTGTGATTGCCAGATTTAGCATGCCTGCAGTCTTTCCTTTGATGCATCTGCGTGTGTGGCGACCTACTTCTGAAATCTTGGCACTGCTGCCTGACAGAAGAGCCCGTATTCTTTCATGTTCTCAGTGGGGCCTGTCACTGATGCTTCACTGGGCATATACAAGACCACATAGCTAATAGCAAGGGTCCTGTAACCATTGGAACCATTTTTGTTTGAAGAAGGTGACATGCTGGTCACTGACTCCACCGGGCTCTCCTTGCCTTGTGCCTTGGGAAGCCAGAATGTAGTCCCTGCGCTTCGCTCCCTTCTTTCCCATGAACGAAATCTGGTGGTTTTAGCGCTTGTGTTCCTTCCAGCGCCTGCTGTCACTTTACTGTTCTCCTCTTTACTGCTGTTGTGTCCCTGGAGAGGAAGAGGCTTGTATGTTCAAAAGGCTGGCTGCATTTCTGATAGATCACTGCGCTTGCACGTTTAATACCAAGTGGCACATCGCACTGTCGCCTTGAAGGAAAGCAGAAAGCAATAGACGCATTCAGTGGCCGCTTGCTGATATCTTCCAATGTGTGTCCCTGTGGAGCTCTGAAAAGGGCTTGGCCATGTGGCTGGAGCAGAGATCTGCTCAGTCCTAAACCCAGCCAGGTGCCATTTTTCCCACAGTTGTCACCAGCCCTGGGCCCAAGCCGCTTTCAGCTTTCTCATCCACTGCAGTACTCTCTTTCTGACTGGTTGTGACTGGGGTTTTGTGCACCAGTGATTTTTTTCCAGGCCTTGCAAATGCAAATAAGTATGTTGTTTCTTTAACTGGAGATAGGCTGTTGTGAGATGCTTCTGTTTAAACCACCAAGAGCTAAGTTTCTTGAAATATTGCTACTTTCTGGTGACGAGAAGGCTTACAAAGTGGCCTTAGCTTTTAGGTGTGCCTAAAGGCCAAACTCTGTTAGGCTCTAGATTCACCTCCTCTGCCTGATGTGACTTGCTGTTAAATATTTCAGTAAAGTGTATGCAGTAGGTCTGACCTGTTTCTTGGGATCTACAAGGAGGCTACCAGCTACCTTGACTTCATCCCTCTCCAAAGAGCACATCACGCTGCCACCTTAGGTTAAGCGCTCTTTTCTGCAGTTCCTTCCTTCCACTCACACTACTCCTCAAGTGCACTTTTCAATTCTTCATTCATGCATGACACCATATATTTTTGCTGGGCTCTGAAACAGTAAAAGCCCATGCAGCCAAACAAATGCATGGCCTGTTTACTGCTTGGTTTGGTACCTCACAGCTCAGGAGGTTCAGCCCTAGTTTCAGGCTGGCATGTTTCTTCCTTTAACTTCTCTGAGCACTTTCTTTGTGTAAGTCATGTTTAAGGGCTGCTTCCTTCAGCTGTCTTGCAAGATTATTTGCCAGCTTGAGAATGCTTCTTCATTTGCCTTTCTTTGTAGCCACTTTGGGCCTGGTGGTAGGTCCAGTTTTACCCTGGACCACGTCCTGCACTCCCATCCAGCTGCTGCTGTCTCCAGAGATGGTGGCACTCATGGATCCTGCTCTTTTCAAGACAGAGGTCCTTATCCATAGCTATTGAAAGCCAGGGCTCCTGGCTATCCATCTGGAGCTTGTATGAGAAGAGGAAAAACATCTAGTGCTTCTGGGGTCAGCATGTGGAGCTTTAAGACCTGCTGCCCTCTGCTCTTCTCTGACGCTTGTCACAAACAGCTGAAAACTTTGCTGCTCTCTTGCCAGTTTTCTCCTGGGCTTCCCTCCCAGGACTGTGGAGCGTTTTTGCTGTAATTGGTTATTCACAGTGTGCCTAGGACATGCTGTACTGACTTTGAAGTTCTTTGCTTTCTGGAGCTATCTAATTTTTTTCTCTGCTTTGGTGGTTTCTGATTACTGTTAAAAAAAGAAGAAGAACAAGAAGAAAAAAGAAAACGCTCTTCTGGGGGAGGGTGTTCAGGCTCCTCCAGTATAACAGTGTAGCTGTGGTTGTATTCTTACAACTTTGTTGTCGCCTTCTGTGTGTTGCAGAACCCATGCTTATGATACAATCTTCAACAGAAGGAACAAACACTTCCTCCTGTAAGTACATATAAATTGTTTAAATTATTGCTGGCAAGCAACACCTCCTACTGTAGCTCCGCAAACAATATGCTTGTACCTAGAGCTACGGTACTGGACGGAGACTGACTGAAAATGATTCCTGGTCCTACAGATATGTTTCTGAAGGATTGCTGTTTATTTGATGCTACAGTATAACTCACAGAGCTATGTCGGTTGCAGACGGAGGGCTAAACACCTTCCTTTGGGAAGGTCAAAGAGCACGTTTGGGCAGGGCAGAGGAAGAGGAAACTGCTCCAGAGCTTGCTACCAGGAATTCCCTTCCTTGCCCTCCCCCAGGACACAGCAGGGCAACGTATGGCCTCAGTAGCGAACTCTTACTCCTCCACCCCCGCAGCCCTGGCACTCGGGTAGTTGGAACGTGCTCAGGTCCAGCCATCCCCAGCTGGAGCACGTTTCCCTTCTTCCCCTCACCAGCTGCTGCACATTACAGTTCCTCAGGCTCTTTCCCCTGTGCCAGGGTGCCCTTGGGAGGAAGGTGACGAAGGTAGGGACGTCTGTCTGTGCATCTTCCCTTGGCTGGGGGGGCAGAGAACTGGAAACAGAGCAGCCAGAGAGATGCCCTCCCTTCTGGGGAAGAGGCCAGAGGTGGCCGAGTGGCCCCAGCTCACCGCAGGGGCATGCTGAGCCTGCAAGGGGGCGAGGGTGGACCTTTCCTTCCCTCTGCAACGCTGCCTCCTGAAGAAGCATGCTTTCCACCCACAATCCTATGCACATTCACCCTTGAACGTGCCTTTCAGCTCTTGAGTAGACCCAGACCCTCTGTCTACCCAGCCTGGTGTTGTGTGTTCTGGAAGGACACTTGATATGATCAAAGTGACCAGGGCTTTGGGAGGCAGGATACTGGCCTTCTCTTGATGCATTAAGCATTTCCCACTGCCAAGAATGGGGTGGCAGGTGAGACAGATCAGCAGCATGATCCACCTTGACAGCTCCAGTATTTCTGTGAAATGTGATGTTTATTCTGTAGCAAGCTATACATAGATGCCCTTAACTCACATCTACAGTACCTACTGCAGCAGCAGAAGATGGGATGTTCAAAGCCAAGTCCCTTGGCACAGTACGCTCAACATTTTTGATTATTTATATAAGATGTGGAAAATGTATTTGTGAAGGGTTTGGGGGAGGGGGGAGGGGAGGCATTAGATTGATTGATATTTTAAGTATGTGTTAAGCTTTTGGATTTCTGAAATTCCTTTATTTAAAAAGGAAGCTTCTCTGCCAGAAAGGTAAGAAGGGTAAAGAGTTCTATTTTTTCCCTCAATGTTTAGCAGCAGAACAGGCAGGAACAATTTCTGGAGTAATTTAAAATAGTCCGTTTTTTCTATTTTCTTCTCAGTTACGCTGATGTAAATCAGGAACTGTAATAGTATTCAAGTCACTAAAGTAACTTAGGGAGGAGAGTGAGCAGCACTGGACATTTGCTGTCTTTCCTGGGTAGTGAAGGTACTACAAAGCAGGATGGAGCTGTTGTTTATTACTAACAGATGTGAGTGTCTACTCACAGCACGGAGCAATGAGGGAATTGGGTCCATGTACTTATTCTGAAGTTGCTTAGGGCTTTTCTTTTCTGGGTTTCAGTGGGACATGTCCATTTCACACTTGTCACTGTCAATCTTATAACAGCTACAGGAGATAAAATAAACTGTTTCCTTCCACTTCTCAGACAATAGCAGATGTTTCAGACAACATGCCAGCACTGTCACTGTTGGCCAGACACTGGGAAAGACCTGAGAACAGCAGAGTGATTAAATAGGCTCTCTCCCCTGAGGCTTCACAAGTGAACAGACGTGTTGCACGCTTTGCTTTTCTGAAGTCCCAAGGAAAGACAAATGTTCGGAGAGGTAAAACTTTCTAACAATGCCATCTCTGGAAGGTGCTCAGCAATGGGCGTGCAAAAACTGCAAGTCCCTCTACTCTTACATTTTTGCATAGACCTACACCCTTCAAAACCCAGCCCATTTTGAGAGCATTGGCCTCAGATTTCAGTAATCCAGGGTCCTACCTGGAGCTGTAGGGAGAGAGAAGAGTACAACTGCAACATACTCTCAGTTTCATGCCATCGCATATAGGGCTGGTGACTGGGCGCGTCAGAAATCCAAGGGAGGAAGAGGAAATTCCTGCTTTTGTGTCCTGTTTTTTTAATGGGAAACTTTGCGATGCTGACAGCTAATTATACCCCTATTAGGTAGAAATGGTTACCGACTTCGCTTCCACTCCCCAACATCCCCAGGATGGCTGAGTGTGTATTTATTTCATAGTGTGTAGTATTGAAAGCTAAGTTATAGCTTTTATTTTTCTTGCCAATGGAGTTCTCTGTGATAGCATTTTCCCTGCTGAATGAAATGAACAAACCAATGGTATTTGGAGCCCCAGGCACTCTCACTACCGAGGGCTGCAAAGGTCATTCTTAAGAACATGTGAACAGTTTGGGGATGGAAAGCATTTTTCCTTCCCCAGTTTTCAGGACTGCAGTGCTCTGAACAAGTCCTTTATGACCTTATGGATCTTTTCTTCCCTGGTGTTGCAGTGGAGAAAGTAAATATGAAACTTAACCTTAGCGCCTCGCTTTTGTGAGTTCAGTCAACTATGTGTTCAAGGCTACAGAAAGAAAATGTGGCAGTGTTTTCACCTTTTTGAGACTTGCTGTTAAAAGTTTTGGCTTCTCCCTCTGACGGCCAAAAATAGCACACCCATGCTTCCAGCACACCATGACAGTCTTCCTTTTTTAGAAAAGCAGATCCAAAAGTTGTATTCTGGTTTGTGAATTAGAACATGCCTATGAAGACATTCAGAAGTAACGAGACTTCCTGTGTTAAAATCACCAGCAGTACATAACCTCCAGCTGGAGGACATATTCTGCAGGAACATCTGTGCAGCACGAAAAAGAGGAAGGGAAGTGGCAAGACACAGGGTGCTTGTGATGACCCTGTTGGTGAGGGGACTATCTGCAGTATGGTGCAGGAGCCTTCAAGTGAGTGTTGACTCATCCAGCCCCACAGCTGTGGTATGTAGACCAGCAGGGATGCAGCACCTGAGCTTACTGTTTCTACACCAGTTTGGAAACCTGTGCTCTGAGGGTTCGGTTAGCTCAAGCTGAGCATTTATAAGAAGTGGGAAATGATGAAACTGGACAGACCCAAAATCTATGGGAGCATGTTTGAGACTTTTCAGCTTGTACAGGAATGCTTACTTAGCTGTATCCTGCAATATTACCTTCATGTTCTTGTCGATGCTGCCCACCAAGGGTGCCTCCCCAAAATCTCTGTGGAGGCACTCTTTGCAGCAGAGGTCCTGGGTATCCTGTGTGTTGTCTTCTCCAGAGCTGATTGCCTTAGGCTGGGATTCTGAGTTCATATATTTTCTGCTGTGCAAGACAGTGAGCTAGCAACCATAGCTTGGACATGCTTGAGGCATGTTCCCTGCAGCTTGCATCCTCCTGACCACTGCCTAACAGGCTGATGTGATGCCTGGCTAGGGGGCAGGAGTGCAGATGGGGAGCAGATGGGAGGCATTTCCCACCTTGTTTACAGCTTCTTTTTCAGAGCAGTACAGGGTGAGTTTGTTTGGCTTCTGGCTGGAGGGAAAGACCCGATATCGGTCATCTGCCCAAGATTAACTTCATCTTATTTTCTGTGAAACTTTCATGCTGGCCTCTCTAAAGTGTGCAGAAATTAAAAAGGAAAGATCAGCTGGAGGAGGAATGTGTCAGCTAGGGTTGCTCATCTCTTCTCTCCGGAATTAATAACTTGCAGCCTCCAGGCCTGGCACAGCAGGGCACCTTCCTAACAATTCACCTCTTCATGGTACAATAATGCGGACTCCAGCTTGCATATTAAATGGAGACCAGATAGAGCACACAGCAAGGAGGCACGCAAAGACATTCTGCCTGTCACATTTTCTCAGGTGAGAGCATACTGAGCTGCTTTTTTTTAAATGTTCCATGCTGAGCAGTAAAACCTTCTCTGACACGGTATTAGAGGCTGTTTGTTTACAGGGTATTTTTGACACAGACATTTTACACTTACAGGACAAACAGCCTGGCCAGTAAATCACCTGTGTGCTAAAATCTTAACAGGGAAAGGGTTAGTTTCTGCTTTCCTTCATGTCTTAAAGTGAACTCAGTCCTTTTTCTCAGTAGATTATTTATTTGTTTATCTAATAACAAGCATTCACTTTAGAAAAACATTCCTTTTGTGTAAGAGTCAAGCAAGCCTGAATCAGGATTTCCGGAGGACAGTAAGCCTTGTCCCACGATGGTGCAGGTTTTGCAGCGGTGGGTCAACGTTCTTGCAGAGATTTGGACGGCTGAATATATGCTGTGGCTATATTCCCCTCTGCCTACGGGAGACTTATCCAAACTTCTAAACACCTTCTGATTCGGTTAGTGTTTTGAACAACAGTCTAAACATGTCATCTTGATTTGTAGTGCACCCTTAGACCTTTCAAGTTACCCTGTTACCTGATGTTTGGAGTTTTAGCTAGCATCTTTTTTTTTTTTTTTTTTAATAGTACTCGTGCAAAGGGACCTAGAGGTGTATGCTTCCCTTTGATGTGTGAGCAAAACCTACGGAATCAAGAAAATAGAGAATCCCACTACTCTGAGGTCTTTCCTGCTCTCTCAGGTCCATGTGAATTGCAGATCATGAAGTATGTAGTGTGACTTGGTGACCAGATATCTTGCAGTATACCAGAATGTAGGACATATAGAATTTCTGCAGTAATTCAGAGATCCCTTTGTTTTGTTTGACTTCACTTTATCCTGAGCTTGACAGATGTTCATTTCTAATATTCCCTCTACAAGAGAGAAGCAAAGAAAATAGTGTGGTGGACAGTGCTGCAGCACAGAGAAAACATCAGAAGAAAGCAGGACACAACCTAGCCATTAAATGTGTATTTAACTCCTTTTATACCAAAAGGGCTGAGCTGTTTTATCATAAAGTCTGCTATCAGCTCAGTCA